AATTTTCATGCAAATCCATTCAGTCGTTCCCGCATATTAAATAAATGAAACTTTTTTAACAGGTGGCAACTCTTAAAAGAATAGCCTATTAACCAATCCGGCCCATAAGCTATCTGCGTACAAAATTTCATGCAAATTCGTGCAGTCGTTTCCGCGTGATGATTTCCCAAACATCCAAACATACAAACTTTCACATTTATAATATTTATAAGATAAGATATTCCTATCTTGTTTTTGACCGATATAACATTTCCCGTTGGTTTAATCCCATCTCGATTTTGACTGTCGCATAGTGATATGTTTATAACTACTAGTCCTTATAACGTTGCATATACCTGTAAAATGCTTAAAAAAAATGTTCTCTGGAAGTGTGTAAAACCCCGATTTAGAATTTATAATTATGCTCCTTCTTGTAGTCAGAATATTTCGAGCGTGGTATCAAATCAAATTTTTTTCAAAAAAGGTTCTGATAGTTGGTCTTACTTAATTGGAGCCTTCTAAATTCAATGGCGTTCCCAGTTTTTCCCGATTGTCTCCACTTTTGGAGATAGCGGTACTTGAAACTTTGCTTAAATTTGAACTATTTTATAAAAAAAACTGAACAACTGAAGATATTTTACTAAAATTTTGCACAAGCTTGTATTTTAATATTTCCTTCACTATATCATAAAATCATCGAAATCGGTTGACCCTAAAATCTAGCTCCCATACAACTGATTGTCCAGAGACGTTGTTTTGTTTTATAACTCCTCCAAGTAAGCAGGTAAAAATTTAGTATTGGTTCACTTTAACATATAGCACGAATACAATTTATTATTCAGATATTAAGTTAGAGTTATAGTGCAAAAACACATATCTGTGTAATCAGTTGTATTGGAGCTATACGTTAAAGTGCACCCATTTCGATAATTTTAAGGAATAATTAAGGTAATATTAAAAAACCATTATATGCAAAAATTTAGTAAAGCAACTTCAAAACTGAGGGAGTTATTTATAAAACATTTAAAATTGAATCAAATTTTCAAATACCGTTATCTCGAAAACCGGAGCCAATCTGGTAAAACAGGGGATGCCATTGAGTTTAGAAAGTCCCAATTAAGTGAGGTCAACTTTCAAAATATTTGCTCAAAATTTACAACTTGAACAACGTCTAATATTTGAAGCATTTGATGAAAATGAATTACAATTATATTAATCGATTTATTAAGAGAACACGAATAAAATATAAAACATAGGTGTGCTCACAAATTTAAAATCTAATTTTTATTTATTTTTTTTGAGAGTGTACCTATTTTTTAAGGCAAAGAACGTAGATAATAAGAAGGGACAACTGTTATAATTGTAGCGAAAGTGCACAACAGGGGCATGCCTTCTATTTCGCCCTAGTACGTCTTTTGATTGGATCTACGTTCCTTGGTTAAGGTAGGATAAAACTTAAGGTATAATACAATGTTCTGACCAACACTTTGAAAACGAGTTTTGGCTGAAGGATGTTCACATCGGCTGTTAGTATTTCGTTCACATTTCTTGCATCCTTTGATTACAGTTTTGCTACACAAAAACAAAACCAAAATGCTTTTCTTTCATTTCCTTTTCATTAACAACCTCTTACTTTCATTCTTATTTTACTTTGACCAGCCAAAAAAATATTACTTCCACTTTGATAAATAACACAGGTCCACAAAAAAATTCAATGAATGGTTCTTTTGACCAAACCTAGTCTTTTAATTGTTTTTGGGGTCGCTGAAGACGAATCTGAAGTCGGTTTTGCTCCACCACGTCTAGTATTTTTCCTAACCTCAAAAAACACATCGGGTTTTCTCTGTCACGTAAAAGTCAAGTAGTTTTCAGCGAAAACTGCACCCCTATTGCGAATGTCGATTGGCAGTAGATAAACGACTATTAAGCGATTGTCGATTATCGATGCTATTGTGAGTGTCGCTTAGTCGCTCAATTCGTGACTGTGAATACTTTTTAATCGCTCATCCTTCTGTTGCAGCTTTTTGGTCGTTGGAGTTTGCGTTTATAAAATTTAATTAGAAAGTTACTGTAATGGATAAAAAGTAAGTCAATTAAACTGGAAGTCGTAAAAAATTTTGAATTATACGTATGTATGTATGTGTCTGAATTATAGATCAAAAATTGTTAGCAACAACAGGCAACTTGCTCGGTTGGTCGATCTGATGCAGGAGAATGAGGACATAGGCAAAGGAATTTTCAGAAAGAGTAGGTGCGGAAGCTCCGCTTCTATTGCGAAGGACATACAACATTTTTTGTGCATATAACTCCGGCTACGCCATCTACAGTGTTTTTGCGCAGAACCAACATCAAAGTTTACAAACAACTGCATAATTTATTAGTTAAGTAGTGCTTGGAAATTTGAAATCTTTATTTTAAATTAAAGTTTGATTCTTTAACTACACGTTTATGTTCAAGTTTTTTAAAATCAGCTCACGCGTTTGGACACAATTACCAACATCATTTTACAAATAACTAAACCCTACCGTATTTCTGCAAATTCTTCACGATTTGCAAGTTTTACAGGAAGCTGCCCCAGATGGCCACCTTCCATAAAGTTTATTATTGTCTAAAACATCTTTTCCTGCAAATCCTGTAAAACCAACAAAGCATCTGCAACGCAACTATTATTCATAAAATTCACATATGTTCATATACTTCATCTTCCAACTCCACGGGATTCGACGAATCTCGCAATTTCCTCCTTGCTTTATCCAATTCTACTAATCTATTAGCTTTCACATCATCTTCCTCATCACTAAACCATATTTCAACTGTATCAATTTTTTAAATTTTATAATAAAAGCAATTATTTTAAAAATGATGTAAATCAAACTGATGCATCTCAATGCAACACTGTCCTAAGAACTGAATGACGCATCTAATGCAACACTGTGTCATAAGAACCCTTGCAAGTTGACGTTTGCAATCTACACACCACTTCGCTTATATTACGATTTCCGCTATCACGTGTTCTTACTTAAAATTACTGAATATTGCTAACAAATTAGATTAATAAATAGTTGAAGTTACAACAAATAACTGGCGACGAGGTAAAGTCAGTGAGTTCACGGAATCGTAATAAACTACCCGAGGCGTTCGATTTAAGCGTAAAAAGGCAAAAAGGTAAAAAGCTGCATTACCATGGAAGAAACTATCAGGAGACTGCTAAAGCAACAGCAGGACTTTTTAGTGGACGTGGATTGAATACAAATAGAGCATGGATGATTGCACAATTGGAAAAGCAAAAAACAAATCTTGCTAAAATGCAATAAAATCCTCGTGAGTCGACCATAACCTCAAGAAATATATCCGTGCCAGCCTTTCCACCGTATGTGCATACAAAGCAAAGTTTTGACTCGTACATCGCACAATTAACCCAGCACTTCGAAGCGTATTCAGTCATGAAGCAGGAACAGAAACGAGCATTTTACCTCTCGTGGGTAGGAGCCGACTGTTGTGAGCTGCTATCCAAACTTTTCGGCACAGAAGACATACAAGCGCAGACATACGAAAGCATTATAGAAAAGTTGTCAACGCACTACAAGGAAAATGTTCACGTACTGGCCTCAAGATAGGAATTTCTGTCATCGAAAACGAAACCAGAACACAAGTATTCAGAATGGATTGCTGAACTGCGGGGCATAGCACGGAATTGCAGGTTCGTGTGTAGTAACAATACTTGCAAAACGTCATTTATAGATGACCTGCTTCGAGACATTTTAGTTTTGAATTCGCCACATGAACCGGTACGCACTGCAGCACTACAAAAGCCTAATCCGGCACTCGCAGATGTTATAGCTATAGCCGAAAGCTATGAAACAACACATGCCATGAAAAAGCAGATGTCATCTAGCACAGCAGAACGCAGCGAAGTATTTCAGCTGAAACAGCACCAAGCTGAAAAAAAGCATAAGCCAAGCGCAAGCAAGAGTAACTGTTTTCAATCCTGCTCTGGGTGCGGGAAGCACCACTCCAGAAGCCAATGCAAATTTCGTAATGCACAATGCCGAAAGTGCAATCGTTTCGGCCATATCGCACCAGTTTGTAAAGCACAAAGTGCAATTACCGACAATAAAAATAATAAAAAGGAGAAGCAACCGCAGACTAACAACAATAACGCTCAGCGAAGTGTGTCAACGATCAACTTNACCGTACCAAACAAAGTAGGAAACAAATATCTGATTGAAATAGGGGTGAATGAAGTNGCAACCATAACGCTCAGAGAAGAGTGTCAACGATCAACTTTGTTGCTTCAATTACGAGCGCCGTGCCAAACAAAGTAGGAAACAAATATCTGATTGAAATAGGGGTGAATGAAGTACCGGTCAAGTTTCAGATGGATACCGGCGCCACTTGCTCCGTGATTGGCTTAGATGTATGTAATGAAATTGGAAAGCCAAGTCTTACTCCCTATCCAACTAGTAAGCTAATCGCGTATGGGGGAAGTGCTGTAAGCATTTTGGGAACTATTGTTGTCACTATTCATCATGGGCAAATTAAACGGCTAGTGAAACTTGTTGTAGCTAATGTTCAGCAAAATAGTGAAATCCTTGGAACGGATTTGCTAGAAGAATTGGGATTATGCGCGTGCCAAGCACATCACGTAAACGCCGTTACGATGGATCCTAACGAAAATATCGAAGTGTCTTTGAAAAAATTTAAAAATTTGCAGATGTGTTTGAAGGCACGTTGGGTTATTGCACAATTTCAAAAGCTGAGTTACGGCTAAAACATAATGCGACACCTAAGTATTTCAAATCTCGCCCTATACCTTTCGCGCAATTGAATGACTTCAAATTAGAGGGACAGAGTCTAACGGACTGCGGGATATGGAAACCAATTACGTTCAGCAAATGGGCAGCACCCATCGTAGTGGTCACAAAAAAGACGGACGTTTGCGGATATGCGGTGACTTTAAAGCTGTGAACGCACAGCTCGAGGTAGATCACTACCCAATACCCCGCATTGAAGAACTGTGNTCTTGTACAGTAGTTTTAGAGGTTCAAACAGTAAGTCCGATACAGTATTTATTTGCTCATTTATTATTTGTCCTTTGAAGGTCTTCTGTTTATATATTTCCATATTTTCTAATNGATATGCGGTGACTTTAAAGCTGTGAACGCACAGCTCGAGGTAGATCACTACCCAATACCCCGCATTGAAGAACTGTGTGGCAAGCTAAGAGGAGGCACAATCTTCGCCAAAATTGACCTTTCAGACGCATACTTGCAAGTGGGTCTGACCGAAGAAGCGAAGCAGCTAATGGTTGTTAATACCCTATTGGGCTTGTTCCAGTATCAACGCCTGCTGATGGGAGTGGCCAGCGCTCCGGCCCTTTTTCAGAAGCTATTGGAACAAGTCATTGAAGGTATTCCGATGTGTATTAATTATCTTGACGATATATTAGTAGCTGGTAAGTCAATACAAGAGTTATTGGAAAATTTGCAATCAGTATTCGAGCGACTGCAAGCATCTGGGTTAAAATGCCGCAAATCCAAGTGCACTTTTATGCAGCGTCGAGTTGAATATGTCGGATTTGTGTTGGATGCAGCGGGTTGCACGCCGTCTCCAGCTAAGGTTTCAGCTATAAGTGAAATGCCGCGGCCTAAAAATTTTAAGGAAGTATTATGGAACGAATTTCCGTCATCCCTTGTCAAATTTGGTTTGGACACAAACCGGTTTCGGCGTTGTGCCATCTTCAGTGTCATTTTTCGTTCTGCATAATTTTTGTTGGTTGCTCGTATTTATACTCCTTGTTAACTACCTCTTTCTTTTGTTAGGTACGTCTTTTTAGTTTTGCAGTGTTTGCGGTACTCAATAGGTAGATGAATTGTTTTGGCTCGTTTTTGACGGCAGGTAGAAGTCCGTGATTTTTACCCCCTTTGTTTTTGCAGTCGGTGTATTCCCTTCCATATCTGTCCTTAATATTTTCTTGTTGTCATTCTTCTTCTTGTACAGTAGTTTTAGAGGTTCAAACAGTACGTCCGATGCAGTATTTATTTGCTCATTTATTATTTGTCCTTTGAAGGTCTTCTGTTTATATATTTCCATATTTTCTAATATATTCAATCTTTGTCCTTTATGTTGTACACGGAGAAGTTCTGTTGTTTGTCCAATCTTCATTGGTGTGCATTTATTTTTGATCATGTGATTCGCGAAGTTCGATTCTATTGCAGCCTCTGGTTTTCGTTTTTTCTTATTATAATCCCTTATGTGTTCTCGATACCTTGTTCTTATATTTCGCCCTGTTTGTCCTATGTAACTGTGTCGGCACTCACAGGTTAACTTGTAAACACCCTGTTTATCTAGCGGGTCTTCCTCGCTTATTTTCTCTTTCAATATATTTCCCACTGTGTTCCTTGTTTTAAATGATGTCTGAATGTCGTACTTATGAAAGAATTTGGCAAGTTTGTAAGATGTCTTTCCTGTGTAAGTTAGAACTGCCCAAGTTTTTTTATTGTTTTCCTCTTTGCTAGTCTTTTTCGATTTTGTGTAATTTCTTAACTTCTCCACCAGGCCTCTCCTATATCCGTTATTTTCCGCAATGGCATATATTGTATCCAGTTCCTTCTTGTAGCATTCTTCTGTTAGAGGGGTCCTTTCAAGCCTCGTTACTAGTCTGATAAGACGATACTGCACGGTGTGGTGCCTGATATTAGTATTCCGTGCCGAGCCATGAAGACCGTTATCTCCTCTATCTTGCTCTGAAGTTCGTTACAGTTGATTCGTCTGATAAGACGATACTGCACGGTGTGGTGCCTGATATTAGTATTCCGTGCCGACCCATGAAGACCGTTATCTCCTCTATCTTGCTCTGAAGTTCGTTACAGTTGATTCGTCTGATAAGACGATACTGCACGGTGTGGTGCCTGATATTAGTATTCCGTGCCGACCCATGAAGACCGTTATCTCCTCTATCTTGCTCTGAAGTTCGTTACAGTTGATTCGTAAAATCTTTTTGTGCCTAGGGAGACTTAGTGGAATGTGGGGTGTTAGTGATNTTGCTCTGAAGTTCGTTACAGTTGATTCGTCTGATAAGACGATTCTGCACGGTGTGGTGCCTGATATTAAGTAGTATTCCGTGCCGACCCATGAAGACCGTTATCTCCTCTATCTTGCTCTGAAGTTCGTTACAGTTGAATTGTAAAATCTTTTTGTGCCTAGGGAGACTTAGTGGAATGTGGGGTGTTAGTGATATGTGTTGCCGTGTCGCCACATGCTGTGCTAGCTGCTGCTGAGGCTGTAGTAGTAGCAGTCCATTGCCTGTGAGTCATGAGGCCTGAGCAAACTCGGAGATGGCTCCACCCGTTGCACTTATTGCATCTGACAGAGGTGGAGTTGTGGTGTAATCGCCTCTGGCACACGCAGCAGGTATATATTTCTGGTCCAGGGTTTGACTCAATGCCAGCCCTGAGCAGATGTATGCGAAGAAGAAGTAGCCCCTTTTGAGGGATTTCGCCGAAACAACAGCAACAACTTGGTCGGTAAAACCCGAGTCATTCTGGTACGTAGAACCGGCTGTCGTGGGAATGGGAATCTTCTTCTACTTCAATCTGGTAATAACCAGACATAAGGTCTAACGTAGTGTGAAATTTTTTTCCAGACCATGTTGCCAAAACCCCATCCACTGTAGGCATCAACCACGGCTGCTTTACAGTTATTGTGTTCAGCCCGCGAAAATCTACACAGAGCCTACCTTACATGGCATACTGTTCGGATTTTTAACTATTGGTCTCTGAGACATTAAGTTAATTTCTATCTTGAATGTCCTGGACTTTTCCAATTCGGGCAACTTTTCTCTGAAACAGTTCCCGAATGCATTCACTAAATCAATTAAGTTTTGCTCTACATTCGCTTCCAGTGAACTACAAATATCTAAATCACTTCTACTAATTGCCATAACTCTGCATAGCAAGTCGATTCCGATAAGTGCGTCATGCGTCATCACGGAGTCATTTATAATTAGCAACTCGACAATACGTAACACATCATCAAATCGAATGCACGCTGATAGTTTTCCGTGGCAAACAACCTCGCCACCCGCGAAACCAATTAACTTTTCATTACACGCAATGATACATAAACCACACTTCTCTGCAATCGACCGCTTCACAAAGGATTTTCTGCTACCCAAATCAATGAGCGCTTTACACATTTTTATCACAAACTTTATTAATTGATGTTGCACTTTCTACAAATTGTTCACTTTCCTCATATTCGTCACTTGATATCTGATGTACACGGTTAACATGTTTTGTCTCAACCTTTCTTTTGGGCTTCACACAATTCCTAGCTAAGTGGCCCCTTTCCCTACAATTGTAGCAAATTGGTCCGATTTCACTTTGATTTGTACTTCTGTTTTACAGCAAATTATCGTCGGATAATCCGTTCACAATATATCGGATTATCGAACTGTCATCGATATTATCTCGGCGGCCTATTGCTTATTTATTTTCGTCCTCATCATTCTAATATGAGTATCCAATGAATTTCTCATTTTACATCCCCCAAGCCTACTAACAACAGCAAAGATTACAATGGTATCTTCCCTGTGATACATTGCTCTCAACTGCTCAACTTTCTCGATGAATTGTGTTGATGAATATATGTTGTCAGTAGCGTTGAACTCTGGCAGAATCGCTGCTATTTCACTCGGCTTATGTGTATTTATGTTTCTCGTTGCATACGGACATCGCTCTCCCCCTGTCAAAAATTCTGAATCAACCCAAGGCGCTGATCGATTTGAATATTTTAACGGTGTTGCAAATCCAACGTTTGTTGCTCCTGCTGCTCGCTGTGATGTGTGCGCATGAGTAAATGGCATCGGCTGTGTTGTATGCTACGTTATATGTGCCAAGTACGGCTGCCCGAAGTTTAATACGACGAAATTGTATGCTGAAAAGTCGGCAGTATACAAGCGTACTGCGATGTAAGTGGAAAATTGCTTTATATTGGCATTGAAAACGAAGCCAGTAATGCTTGGGACGCCGGCATTGCTATTGAGGCTGCTTGTTGCAAGTGCCAGTCTGCTGATCAATTCAGCTTTCGTGCCACTCGTTTAAAATTTAAGCTTTTGCAATGCTGCTTTAAATTTCGCGACTGTTAAACGATTTACGTCCGTGACCACTTCTGAGATCTGTCGCTACAGATAGATTCAGGACAACCAGCTTTATTCAGTTCAATTTAACGACAGACCAATTTTACATTTACATAAAATAAACTCACATACAAAAACCAACAGAATGAGTATTTCAGTATACAGACAGAATGAACGTTATGAAGTTAAAATGAAAAATTAATAGAGATGCCAATGAATACGTAATTAGCAATGACATGAAGGAAACAATTACGGCCCCTCCTTTGAATTAAAAATAATGGAATTTCTTAAAATTGTCAAATAGGGCTATTTGCATTGATAGTGGTGATGTTGTATGTAAATAAAAACTTGTATTTAATTTAGTGAGTACACCATATATGTATAAGCGCACTTTAGCTAAGTGAGCGCCGCTCTTCCGATGGCAATGACAGAACTCATGGCATGACTATTCGACTCATTTTACCCGATTGAGAAGGGAACAGTACACGAGCATATGTACCGTCGTATCAAATTTTGTTACAGAAACAAAATACATGGGAAAAATTACCAAACACCGAGTTACCGAGTACCAAGTTCGCCGTAAAGACCCCTATTATTGTTATGAACTACTGAGTGCGTGACAACGGCGAAACAATAGAGTTCTCACCCCTATGTGGTAGTTTTGGTAAAATGCTAGTTGCTACTTCGAAATTTTATCAACTGTGCACGTCCTTTTCAGCTTGCTTTTGTTAGTGTGGCAAATTAGATTTATCAACAGCTAAAAAAAAATCTAATGAATTTTACTTACCCATATGCGTTAAGCCCAAAATAAAATAGCCCAGTGGCAGTGACAGTTTTTAAAATCAGGTGTTACTGCTAATATTAACAGTCACTGCCGCAGCAAACACAATACGGCGTTGTCAGTGACTGCTTTTTTTGATATTCCCTTTTGTTTGTTTACATTTTTGTTGTTGCCTTTTAGGCTTCAGTGACATCAATAGAAGTTGGCTGCGTTTCATTTATGTCAAATTCAACATGCGAAATTTGCTGCGATGAAGGCAGTGGGGGAGTGAATTTAGAATTTGGGCTAAACTGAGCAGTACTGCTAGCTGCCACTGCTGTATTGTGAGTCGCCACAACCATCGATAGTTTTCCAAACCTAGATTGCAGCTTATCCAATACCAGAAAAAATATCATCCTTGCCTTCGATAATCGGAGTAAAAGTGAAATTAGTGGAGATCTTATCAGGCTAAGCTAATATTCGCGGCTTGCGTTTTGGTACGCACGCAGTCGAATTGGTTTTTTGCGTCATCCAAAATGGGTTTGCGTGCGTTTGCATTTGATTTCATTGAGTGAAACGTCAAATCAAAATGTCACGCAGAACAAAAATTGGAAATTGAGTTAGCTTCATATGCACGCCGTTCAATTTTGGTTGGTCGCATACAAGTCGTATGTGCATGAGAAATGTTTGACAGCAAATTGGCGTCGTTCGTTAATATTAGGTTAGCCTGTAAGCCCGCTGGTACGTAAACCCGAGACAACTGTCACGTTCTATCATACCAGAGCGCCATGTAAATAAAAACTCAACAACGCAGAATTGTCAGCAGTGGAATTCTGACTATCGCCACGCTAAATTTTCGTCGCCAAAATTCTCTAAAGCGAAGATCACACGATTTGTACATTTGCACGGAATTGTAAATTTAGGCAGTCACAGAGTGGTGTTGTTTAGAAACTTGAGTCCGGCTCAAGAAAAGAATTTCAGAACAACAACACTATGTATCTGCCAAAATGTACAAATGTACAAATCGTGTGATGGCTGCTTAAATGAAATGCAGTGGGATCTAAAAGTATAGAGCATGGAAAAGTAACAGATCCAATGCGTAGTCAGGCTTTGTGTATTGTTAGGCGAACTTGCTATTCTTTTGAAGGTTTTTGGCGATGAAAATTAGCGATAGCAAATGTTGGAAGTCGGCTGTAGCTACGAAAGACGTGTGTAATTCGCACAACCAAGCAAAAATAAACAATTTTCACAACATTCATAAATGTACAACATATTCGCACTGAAAGGGTATGTTATGACATGCTCACGCACAAAAATGTATCTGCGATAAGATTTCATATGCGAAAAAACTGGCAGTTCATATGTGAGGGCCCAAAGCAGGGGGGGCTACTCTGTCTTCAAATGGATTATGTCTACTTTTGGCAGTTCAGCCTAAAAGTGTTGATGCCGAAATATGTTTTTCATCATTTGTGATGTATACGTTCCTCAATCACGTGCTAAACAGCAACATCAATTGCTAAGTCCCAATTTAAAAATTGTACAGGAGAGGAAAAACTTCGTATAGCCATTTTCTTCAAGTATTTCGCACCGGTTTTGAACCGGAAAACCGCTTTTCTCTATTAATTAACTGAACCATTAACGGAACCGAAATTTTCCTCAAATGTTTGATCTGAACCAAAAACCGAACCACTTTCTGTAAAGGTTTAAAGGTTCGTTTCAAACAAATTTCAATAGATAAATCTACCCACTTTTTCTTCATTCTGTTAAACATGGTAATACCTACCATGTTTTTTTACCATGTGACAATATCAAATGTAAAGGCAGCCCATCTCACTTCACCCTTAATCTTGCGCGTTGTTGCACTTGACACTTGACACTTAAATTTGCGCCTTATTTTTTTGTTTTTCGAACCGTTGAATCGAACCGAAACCCCGGTACAAAGACCAAAAAACCGCTTTGACGAACCAATCCAAAAGTGCAACAACGGTTCGAACCGCTGAACCGAACCGACCGAATTTTTCATCCGGTTCACGTCCCTGGTTATTTCACATTCAATTGGGAAAATACAATAGTGGTATTCATCTAAACCGATGACTTTATCAAGCAGATAATCTTATAAGTTTACGCACTCCGTTACATGAACGACCCTCACTTTCTTTTCGTTTACACATGCGAAAATTGTCGTGTTTTCTTTGGTTATAGAGCTCAGTATCACTAACTTTATAAAGAAATTATAGAAACTTACTCACTAAATGGGAAAAAATTATATTTACGAGATAATATTTATTTAAATAAATATACATATAACATAAAGGCATGATTCAATAATACAAGGTTGGATAAGCTGGCAGTTGTCTCGCTCGCGCATTCCGCCTTAGCCTGTGTTGCCTTCTTTTTTGATTTGTAGTAACTACTACTAAAATACAAGGAGAAATATTGTCTTCGTATAAAAAGTACAACAGGCAACACTGCCGATATTTTCATCGATTGTTTCGTGGAAATTCATTTTCTTATTGGGCAAATTCAAGTAAGTATGGCAAAAAAATCAAAAATAATGGAAATATTTTGAATTACAACAATAATTTACATATTTATTTGCAGGGCATTGGAGTAATTCATAATTTGTATTCAAAAAGTAGCGTTTTACAACAAGTGCAGGCGTTGCAAGTAAGTTTTGCATGCTAGGATCCCTGTGTGACTTGGGTGTCCGTCCACGTTTGCTGGTGCATGCACTTTTACCACTGCAGCGTTTGGGTTGGTCAAGTGCAGCCTTTGCATATTTACAAGTAAAGCAGGGATCACACGATTTGTACATTTGTACACAAAATGCCAAATTTAGATTTGCCCACATTTGCGCATTTGGATAGCGATGTACAAATGATTTGTTTTGCGATCAGACGATTTGGCTGCCAAAGATCCAAATGATTTGGTACACATATGCGCACAGCAGTAAAGTGACAAATATTGTCCACATTCATTCACACAATTTAACCATTTGGTCATAAATACTTAAACAGCTGATCCGGTGTCAACCATACTTTTGCATTTATGATTTCGTGAGATTTGAAGTGAAATATAAAATATGAAGGTAAAAAACGCGTTTTTCATAGGTTGAAGCATATACTTGCTCGTAACTTTATTACATATGCCATTTAAGAGAAAACATTTCGTCGTCTACAACCGTTTATAAATGGTTAATTTGTCTTGAGAATGGGCACCCTATGTATGTATACTAGTAAACAAAATAGTCGGACAAGTCGTAATTTAAAATGAAAAAATGTTAAAAATTAAAATTTTGCATATACTCTGTAAGATTCCTTTCAGTGATCGGACTTCTACCACATTGTTGTAGATCTGCCACTTTTTAGAGCACATCTACCACACAAGGTCTGAAATCTACCTACATATTGGCGCGTATTCATAGTCCAGCAACTAAGTCGAAACTAACAAAGTTGCAACTTAAATTTAAGTACCAACTTAAAATTTACCTCTATTCATAGTCGCATTTCAGACTTCTACTAAGTAGTTTCGACTTAGNGAACAACCGCAGTGATGTGAAGTCGATGTTTATCGAAAGCATGCTGTGAAACATACAAATAGTAGATATCTAAATGTTATGCACAATTTTACTTTAAAAGAACGAGCGTGAAACTGACTTATTATTTGAAAATTTATCTAAATTATTCAATTAAAAAATTGTGATGCAGCTTTATTCGAATTGTAATCCGCATTTAATTTCATC